TATTTTATAAAACAAAAAAAGGAGATATAATAAATAATTCCACATTCTATATGCAGGCAGCAACCCTGAGCTCAGATCCCAGCCAGCCTTGAGACCATGAGGCACAGAACAGACAATCTACAATGTACAGCTGCTCCTTGATTTACACTGGGGTTATGTCCTGATTATTCTACTGGAAGCTGAAAACGCATATAATACATCTAACCTACCAAACACCACAGCTTAGCCTTGCTCACCTTAAACATGCTCACTTAAAGTAGCCTACAACTGGGCAAAATCATCTCACACAAAGCCAATGGACAGTGAGAGAGAGAGACAGAGAGAAAGGTCTTCCTTTGCCGTTGGTTCACCCTCCAATGGCCGCCGCGGCCAGTGCACTGCAGCCGGCGCACCGCGCTGATCCGATGGCAGGAGCCAGGTACTTCTCCTGGTCTCCCATGCAGGTGCAGGGCCCAAGCACTTGGGCCATCCTCCACTGCACTCCCTGGCCACAGCAGAGAGCTGGCCTGGAAGAGGGGCAACCGGGACAGAATCTGGTGCCCCGAATGGGACTAGAACCCGGTGTGCCGGCGCCACAGGCAGAGGATAGCCTAGTGAGCCATGACGCCGGCCACACAAAGCCAATTTGTAATAAACTGTTGAGTGTCTCCTGTAATTTATTCACTATTATACACAAAGTGAAAAACAGAAGGCAATCTTTACTATTTGAAGTCAAACTCACCATCATTTTTTTTTAAATTTTATTGATTTGACAGAGTTAGAGAGAGAGAGAAAGGTCTTCCTTCTATTGGTTCACTCCCCAAATGGCCGCTATGGCCGGCACTATGCTGATCCGAAGCCAGGAGCCAGGTGCTTCCTCCTGGTCTCGCACGCGGGCACAGGGCCCAAGCACTTGGGCCATCCTCCACTGCCTTCCCGGGCCACGGCAGAGAGCTGGACTAGAAGAGTAGCACCCGGGATTAGAACCCGGCACCCAAATGGGATGCCGGCACCACAGGCACAGGATTAACCAAGTGAGAGCCATGGCGCCGGCCCCTTACCATCAATTTTTTAAAAGACTGACTGACTTATTTAAAAGGCACAGTGATAGAGGGGGAACAACACTGCACTACTGGCTGGAAGTTCATTCTCCAGTTACTATCTCACCCAGGAATGGATATCATGGATCAAATGCTCAGACAGTGGTGATGATTCCACAACAATATGAATATGATTAATATCACTGAACTGTACAGTTAAAAATAGTTAAAAGGGCATATTTTATTTTCATGTACTTATAAATTTTAAAAAACTAAGATTCAATTGCAGGACAAAACAATACAGATGAAGAAAAACATATAAAATTATTTTCATGTCTGCAGCCTATCACAAAAAGTGGCAACAGGTATATAAAAAGAAAAATACAGAGAATACAGATTCAAGATTTATTCATTTTAATTAAAGCTGATAAATCCCCCCCAAAAAAAACTTGGCAAAGAAAATTCCAAGATCCCATCAAAAAGTCAACTGTGTTTTCCCATAGGTACTAATGGAAAACCTAAGCTCATAACTATGAAGCACTACAAAATAATCTGTCCATGTTAGGAACTCAAATCAGAAATGTTAAGGGAAATCACTTGGGTTTTTGTTTTGTTTTGTTTCTTGTTTTTTATAAACTATAGTCCTTCTAGATTACAGTAATAATTGATAAAGAGAAGACAGTTGGGATCAGCATGTGGCATAGGAGGTTAAGCCAGCACTGGCAATGCCAGCAACCCATATAGGTGCAGGTTTGTATCCTGACCACACCACTTCCGATCCAGCTCCCTGCTAACGGCCTGTAAAAGCAGTAGCAGATGTACCAAGTGTGTGGGCCCCTGTAACCCATTTGAGTGATCTGGAAGAAGCTCCTGGCTCTTGATTCAGCCTGGCCCAGCCCTCATGGTTGCAGCCATTTGGGGAATGAGCCAATAGATGGAAGATCTCTCCACCTATAACTTTGGTCTTTCAAGTAAATAAATAAATCTATTTTTTAAAAAAGATAAAATAGTACTGCCTTATTAAGAACAAAGTAATCTAGGTAAATACTCAGTGAGATTTGAAGAAGACAAAACAAATTTCAATAAAAAAAGCAACTGGTGATCTTCTATATATAAAGGTAATTAAAAATGAATCTCAATGAAGAATGGGGTGGGAGAGGGAGTAGGAGATAGGATGGTTTACGAGTGGGAGGGTGGTTATGGGGGGGGAGGACCACTATAATGCAAAAGTTGTACTTTTAAAATTTATATTTATTAAATAAAAGTTTTATATTAAAAAAAGCAACTGGAGGTACAGAGATTAAAAGGTAACATGCATACTTTGCTCCATTACTTCAGGATTATCTAAAAGTTACTTCTAAATGTTCTTAGGTATTTCTAGTAAAATAAAAAAAATACTGAAGAAAAAAAGAAAGAAGGTATTGAAAAACAAAAGGCAATAGATGCACAAAGTTGTACAGATTCTGAGCAAATGCAGTAAGTTGTAAAAATTAAACTCAAAAATTACTGTGATTTTCAAAAACATATATTCTATTTAGAAAATCCAAGAAAACTTACTAAAAAACTATTTCATAAAAAAAAGTGTCCCAAAGCATAAAGACAGCAAATAGATACAAAACAATCAACAGTTATGCCAAACCACAACAATGATTAATTTTAAAATGTAGTGACTCCTAGGTGGAATACTTATATAATGGGAAGATATCTATTCTAACTATATTAAAATATAATTTCAACACATTCCAAATAAGTCTCCACAGGATTCTGTGTAAATCAATAGAGTTACAAAATACTAGGAAAGTTTTTGCAAAAGGAAAACAAATGGCAATATGATGCTAAAGTAAGTAAAACAATACAATGTTGGTAAAGGGTGTTGTTTGATTTTTACTTCTATTTAGCAAAATTTATAAACATAGAAAAAAAGTATAGAAAAGTCAACAATGAAACACCTGCATTGATAACACCCAGCTTTGATAATTATTAACACTTTGAAAATGTTGGGGCCAGCCCTGTGGTGCAGGTTAATCTTGCACCTGCGGCACTGGCATCCCATATGGCTGCTGGTTCTAGTCCAGGCTGCTCTGCTTCTGACCCAGCTCTCTGCTATGGCCTTGGAAAGCAGTGGAAGATGGCCCAAGTGCTTGCAGCCCTGCACCCGAGTGGAAGACCCGGAAGAAGCTCCTGGCTCCTTGTTTCAGAGCAACTAAGCTCTGGCGTTGTGGTCATTTGGGGAGTGAACCAGCAGATGAAAGATCTTTTTTGGTCTCTCTCTCTCTCTCTCTCACTGTCCATAACTCTACCTAAAGAAAAAAAGAAAATGTTGCTGAACCTATCTCATTATTTCCTTTGTTTTGACTGAATATTTTAATGCAAATTAGATATAGTATATCACTTCAATGAGATTATATCATTATCAGATAAAATTCTTGGAAAAAACATAAATGTCTCAAAATGTCATTTATACAATAGGTCTGATCTGATTTCATCATCATTTAAAAAAAAATCATCTATTATTTTTCACTTTATGTTTCTGTGTGGGAACAAACTGTTGAAATCCTTACTTAAGGTATACTAAGCTGATCTTCTGTATACTAAGATAATCGAAAATGAATCTTGATGTGAATGGAAGGGGAGAGGGAGTGGGAAAGGGGAGGGTGGTGGGTGGGAGGGACGGTATGGGGGGGAAAGCCATTGTAACCCATGAGACGTACTTTGGAAATTTATATTCATTAAATAAAAGATAAAAAAAAAAATGTCATTTATACTTCATAGAATTTACTCAAATTCTAGCCCAAAGTTCACACATTGTACTGAGTTGAAGTGTATCTCAAGTCTCTCATAAACAGAATATTTATCCTTCTAGTCTATCTGTTCTATCATCTAACCACCCTTCCTCTACTGCTAGAATATTTTAAAGCAAACTACTAAAATTACTTACAATACTTTTGTATGATTGAAAAATAGACTTTAATATTCTTTATCATCATTTAATATGTCAAGTGTAAAAAATCTCACCTTTTGGGGCCAGCATTGTGGTGGAATGTGGCACCCCATTCCATATGGGTGCCAGTTCGAGTCTCAGCTGCTCCATGTTCAATCCAGCTCCCTGTTAATGTGCCTGGGAAAGCAGCAGAAGATGGCCCAAGTGCTTGGGCCCCTACACCCACGTGGGAGACCCAGAAGAATCTCCTGACTTCTGGCTTTGGTGTGGCCCAGCTCCAGCTGCTATGGCCCTTCAGGGAGTAAACCAGCAGATGGAAGACCTCGCTGTCTCTTCCCCTCTCTATCTGTAACTCTGACTTTCAAATAAGTAAAACAAGTCTTTAAAAAAATTCTCACGTTTTAATGAAAACTATCATTTTATCTTTGGTTTGTGTGAAAGAGGATCCACAGTTTGTTCTCAGATGATATTTCCAAAGCCTCTCCTTTAATCTTTAACACTTGCCCTGACACACAAACTCCTATTTTCCTATTAAAATACACATATGTGGTTCTCAACAGACACCTTAAACTTTCCCCAGCTAATCTACACTTTACTATCCACTAAGAAACTAAACATGCAAAAGAAAAACTTGTTTTTGAGTATTTGTGAATATATGCTCTTATATACGCAGGTGTATGTATGTATATGTGAATTTATCTATACAGATTCAAAATGCCCAAAAAGATCTAGAAAGAACAAATAAATGACAGAGGTTTTATCTGGGACAAAAATTGGATTAGAGTGAAAAGAATCATCACAAAGACAATTACTATTTCAAAAAATTCACTGAATATTTCAACGGTAAGGCTTTTATCTAATGTCTGTTTATTTATTGGGTCAAAATGGGATACTGTTTCTCAATATTATCTAACCCACTATATCACAAAAAGCATTTCTCACATTTTTTCACTAATGTTAACATCAAGATCCAGTGTGAGGCGAATGACCAGCTAGACTAGACGTCATATCACAAAAAGGAATCAATATAAACAACTTACTTTGGCTTCAGTCTCTCCCCTATGAAGCGTGTACAGATGGTGGACAGCACTTTGTGATGAGGACCACGGGTGAGTTAGAATTTGGAAGACATGAAAGTCATGGCCCAGGGTATCTGTTGTGACTAGAAGCATTCCTGCAACACAGAAAAACAAAAGGTTAAAAAAAATGATTATGTATACAGAAGAAATCTTTTTAAAAGCTACTTACAATATTAACAAAGGAATAAATTATAAGATATTTAAAAACTTCCAAATAAAAAATTAAAATATACTTTTGCTATGAATAACAAACTTAATGCTGTATCAGAAAACTAGCAAAGTATAAACACTAAATGTTCAGATATTAGGACATTGCCTTAACATTAGAAAGTCTTACATGCTAGAATTTCCAGGGTTCACAATTACTTTTTTTTTAAAGATTTATTTATTTATTTGAAGGGCAGAGTTACAAAGAGGCAGAGCTGGGGGTGGGGGTGGAGGGAGGGAGAGAGAGAGAGAGAGAAGAGATCTTCTATCCATTAGTTCACTCTCCAACGGGCCACAACAGCCAGAGCTACATCAATCCAAAGCCAGGAGTTTCTTCTGGGTCTCCCACATGGGTGCAGGGGCCGAAGAACTTGAGCCATCTTCTACTGCTTTCCCAGCCCATAGCAGGGAGCTGGATTGGAAGTGGAGCAGCCAGGACTTAACCAGTGCCCATATGGGATGCAGGCACTGTAGGCGGAGGCTTTTACCCACTATGCCACAGCATCGGCCACCCACAACTACTTTTAAGAACAAAGAATGTGAAAATGACAATCTGAGTCTCCCATGCATGGTGGCAGGGACCCAATTATTTGAGTCATCACCTACTGCTGAATGCACTGCAAGAAGCTGGATAGGAAACAGAGTGCAGACTCGAATCCAGGCACTCTGACATGGGAGATAGCTTTCCCAAGTAGCATCAGAACCACTACACCAAATGTGTGCCTGACATGCTAACATTTCCTCCTTACGACATACAGATAAAAGTGGCTCTGTGTATTTTACAAATTCTAGGTTTTGGTTGTGGTGGTGGTGATTTTTTGTTCGTGTGTGTGTGTGTGTAGAGTACGTGAATATTCTTGGAAGATAATCATGTAGTCTCTCAACAGCTGAATTTCTCTCACTTCAGTCTACATACTATTTCCTCCTGGAATTGGTGCATTTGCTGAGGGAACCAGGACTGGATAGAAGAGATAGTCATGCTTTGTTTCATGTCTTGAATGAAAGCATTCTCTCTCTCTCTCTCTTTTTAAAGATTTATTTATTTATTTGAAAAGCAAAGGTTTAGATAGAGAAAGGGAGAGACAGAGAGGTCTTCCAAATGCTGATTCACTCCCCAAATGGCCACAATGGCCAGAGCTGGGCCCATCTGAACCCAGGAGCTTCTTCCGGGTCTCCCACATGGGTGCAGAGGCCCAAGCACTTGCTCCATCTTCTGCTGCTTTCTCAGGAATGTTAACAGGAGCTGGAAGTGTTGCAGTCAGATCCTGGACCAGTGGCCATGTGGAATGCCAGCACCACAGGCGGAAGCTTAGCCTACTATGCCACAGCACCAGCCCCAAAAGCATTCTCTTTAAGTATGAGCTTCACTATATGCATACGCCCTTTCTAGAATATATGTTTAAGATAATTTTATACAATACTTTTACCATGGAGGAGACCCAGATAAAGTTCTTTGCTCTTAGCCTGGCCCAATCCTGGCCATAGCAGTCATTTGGGGAATGAATCAGAGGACAGAAGATCTTTGTCTCTCCCCCTCTAACTCTGCCTTTGAAATAAATAAATCTTTTTAAAAATGACACCTGTGTCAAACATCAGAGTACCTACCTCCAGCTCCCTACTAATACAGATCTGGAAGACAATATGCTGCCTCAGATCACTGGGTTCCTTGCCACTCACACAGGAGATATGGACAAAGTTCCTGACTCCCAGCTTCAGCCTAGTGGATTCTTTCTATAGGGTTTTCAGTGATGTCCACTTTTTACTTCAGGATATTAGTAATTTGTGTTCCCCCTCCCCATTGCAAATCTTTCCCAAGTACCCTATTTTGGAAAGATAGGAAAAGTCTCTTTCTCTTTTCAATTTTCTTGACTTGAGCTGCTGAATTTATTATTTCCTTTATTCTCCCTTTTATTTGCTCTTCCTTTACTCAAATTTCTTTTTTTTTTTTTATTTGACAGGTAGAGTTATAGACAGTGAGAGAGAGAGAGAGAGAGAAAGGGTCTTCCTTCTGTTGGTTCACCCCCAAAATGGCTGCTACAGCCGGCGCTGCACCTATCTGAAGCCAGGAACCAGGTGCTTCCTTTTGGTCTCCCATGAGGGTGCAGGGGCCCAAGCACTTGGGCCATCCTCCACTGCCTTCCCAGGCCACAGCAGAGAACTGGACTGGAAGAAGAGCAACCGGGATTAGAACCTGGCGCCCATATGGGATGCTGGCGCCACAGGCAGAGGATTAACCAAGTGAGCCACGGCACTGGCCCCCTTTTACTCAAATTTCTTAAGATGTTCCAAGGTAAGCATACATTGGCAAAAACTTCCCTCTAAGCAGATTTAGGTGAATTCCACAGATTTTTATATTTTCATTTTCATTTACATTTAGTTCTAAATGTTTTCAAGAAACTTCCTCTTTTATTCATAGGTTAGGAAAAGGAATGTTATTTAGTTTTGAAATAAGTGGGTACCTTTCTGAGAGTATCCCTAGTGTCATTTCATTTTGACAAGAAATTACTTCTAAGTTTTTAAAGTTTGTTTTAGACTCAGAATATGATGCCTTGAAAACTGCTCCATATATACTTGCACACCTGGAATGTGCTAAAATATCAATTCAAGTTAGTGTGTTTTCTTTTGGTCTTCAATGTCCTCAGTAATTACTTATTTCTTCTATTACTGAGTAGGAGTTAAACAGCCAAGTATAACTGTGGATATGTTTATATCAAGCTTCCTAAAAGTTAGTTCTTTCACTCCATACACAATTATGAGTTCATCATGAATTAACCCTTTTTGTCTTATTTTAACCTTGGTTATTTTATTTGCTCTGAAGTCCATGTATGGCTTCTCTAATCCACCAATGAGTTTACATTTTTCATGAAAAATCATAGGAAAAATGTAAAAAAGCACCAAGGATAAGGAATAAGTGGTTAGTGTAGGACTACATAATCACGTACCTTCTCTTAATTCACCATTTCCTTCTTTGTACACACTCTGTTGAGGAAATAGTAAGCTTTTTTTCTTCTTATACATACAAAACAAGTTAAAAAGCACATATACATAAAAGGAAAAACTCACACAGAGTAGACTGTGGCTTGTGAACTATTTATGCAGCATCAGAAGACTAAACCAGACTCCGGCCTGGCCATAAACTAAACCCACGCCCCAAATGAGGTGCCAAGCCACAAAAAGCATTTGCGTCATCTGGGAATACAAGGAAAAGAAGGACTTCTAATTATAGGGCCTGGAAGCGGAAGCCTAGAGTGATTAGCTGTTTAGGCGCTGCTGTATGTTTATCTGGAAGCTTCCTCTCCCTCACTCTCAGTCTCAAGTTTGATAGATGAGCCTTAGCGTCGGAGGGTGGAGACTGAAGCTGCTGATGGTACACAGCGTTCTCCAAAATCTGAGGTTGCTGCAGAACGAACATTAAGGCTTTTGTGGCCTCATAAGAACATAAGTCTTTTCAACTGGGCGTCAGCTGGTTAGCCCAAAAAGCAAAATTAAAGAGTAGCAAATCTCCATTGGGCATAGGCTATAAAATCTTGGAAACATGAGTAGGTTTGTCTTTTTTGCCATATGCTATTTATAACACCTATCTAATTGTATGGTTCTTTAACATGTGCACACATGTGAACTGGAAGACAAATTACCAACTACTCATACTCTCTTCCAAAAAGAAATATAAACATTGATATGCTGGGTCACACAAAAATCTTTAAAGGAATTTAGATTGTATTACTCATGAAACAATCTTATACTTTGGCATTAATGCTTTTGAATGGAAGACTTCCTGATCAAAACTTTTAAAGAGACAAACACGTAACTTATAAAAGTTAATAACCAATTTCATAAACACAAAAACCAGGAGAGTTCAACGACTAAAATCCATTATGTGCTCAGACTGCATAAAACAATATTATCGCAAATTAACATCTAATTAATAGAACTTACAAACTGAATATGAATGCCCAAAAATACTAGTCTCAAAGCCACCATATGGACAGTATCAGTTACAACAGCACATTTCTTAAGTTGTTATCAGGATGCTGATAGTCAAACCCATCAATGTATTTTTTCCACCTCAGTAGCCCAGAATATAGTAAATCTTTATCAAACAAGCTACATAACATCCTGTTAAAGGCACTGAAGTAAACAGTACCAAACAAAGGAGATGATTTATTTGATCCTTTCCTTGTATATACATAAGCTACATAAATTACAGTACAAGCTATGATGTTGCCCTTATTTATTCCATGTGGAAAAGTCTAAAGTCAACAAGTGGTTTTCTAGCTCACTTACTTTATCTGTTAACATAAAAAAAAGGATATGTTAACATATCCTTGTGCATTTTTTGCTTTTAGAAGTGTCTCAACACACATATATTGATTCATTTTTTTTCTTTGAATCAGGAAATTTTTAGGCTTAGGAAGATATTGGATATTGGCCATATCCAATGGGTTTTCATACTAAGCATTAGAGTATTCATTATTTTTAACAATTATGTATTTAAGAAATAAATATTCACAAGTGGTATACGCTCACGTTTTTTACTTTTTCAAGAGGTTGAGTGTATCACTTTTTAGATGCCAGAATACTTTTGAAAATTTTATTAACATTTATTAATGTATAATTTACATGCAATAAATTAATCTCTCTTAAGTCACACTTTGAGTCTGACACCTATACACAGACACAACTACTGCCATAATAACATACGGAACATCTGAAAAAGTTTCCTTGTGTGCACTTACAATTCATCCACTCCCCATCCACATGGTCCCAAGCATCAACAGATCAGCTCTGCGTTACTATGGATTAATATGGCCTGCTTTAGACTATAAATAGAAGCATAGTATTTTCTCAGCCTTTTACTACAAGCAAAAGTAGTTCATTCGTTCATACA